AATGGGCAGACTGAGCTGTTTTGAAGGTTCTCCTATAATAGTGGATTCAGCTATTTCTCCTTGTAGTTCTACCAGGTTTTATTTCATATGTTTTGATGATATGCTGTTAGACACATACACATTAAGGATAATTATGTCTTCTTGGAGAATTGATCCCTTTATTATTTCTTATAAATTCTTTCGATCTGAGGTATGCTTTGTTTGAAATTAGTATAGCTACTCAAGTTTTCTTTTTATTAATGATAGAATGGTATAACTCCCTTCATCTCTTTACATTCAATCCATCTTTATAGTTAAAATGGATTTCTTACAGACAAAATACAGTTCTTGTTTCTTGATTCAATGTGGCAGTCTTTGTTTTTCATTTGGTGTGTTGAGGCCATTGAGGTTTACAGTGATTATGGATATAATTGGATTAATATCTAACATATTTGATGTTTTCATTCTTTGCATTTTTCTTTTTTGTCTTTCATTCATTTTCTGCTTTCTCTTATTTTAACTAAGCATTTTGTTATTCCATTTTCAGTTCTTTCTTAGCATATTCATTTTATGTTTGTGATTGACCTTGAGTTTGTACTATGTATTTACAACTAAACCATGTCCATTTTCAAATATCACTGTCCTACTTCCATAGTACTTTATGAGTGTACATGTTCCTCCTTCTCATGCTTTGTAACATTACTGTCATTTATTTCACTATAAGCTAGATCTATAAGCTAGAATCACCCAATCCTCAATAACTGCTGCTGTTTTTACTTAGAACTGTCATCTGTGAGAGCAATTAAAAATAATGAAAATAGAGCTAGCAGCATGGCCCAAGTGATAGAGTGCTTGCCTTAGGTTCAAACCTCATTACAGACAAAATAATAATAATAATAATAATATTTTGTATTGCCTTCACCTACTCTTTCTCCAACACACTTCCTTATTTTTATGAATATGAGTTTCTAACACACATCACCTTTGTTCTTTCTGAAGAACTTTTTATTAAATTTATTTAACTGATACTTGCAAGATTACTAGAGTCAAATTCTCTCAATTTTTGCTTGTTTGAGAAAGTCTTTATTTCTTCCTCATTTTTGAAAGACATCTCATTAGATATAAAATTCTTAGTTGGTGATTTTTTTTTTCTTTCAACATTTTACATATTCCACTCCAATCTCTGGTTGCTTACATGGTTTCTGAAGAGAAGTGCAATATAATTTTTATAATTGTTCTTCTGTAAGTAAGATGTTTTCACCTCTGACTTCTTTTAAGGTTTTCTCTGTCTTTGATTTTTTTTCTATAGTTTGAATGTGACTTTATGTAGACTTTTTGGTATTTATCCTTCTTGTTCTCTGTTGCTTTTCAGAATCTGTGATTGAATGTCAACCATTAACTTTGAAAAATTCTTAGTCATTATTACTACAAATGCTTCTTTTCCTTTCTTTCCTTGGGTATTTCTACTACATATAAGTTACACTTTTAGTAATCACCTCACATGTACTAAATGTTTTGTTTCAGGTTTTTTTCATTCTTTTTCTCTTTGCATTTCAGTGTTTGAAGTTTCTATTGACATTTGTTCAAGATCACACTTTTTTCCTTGGCAATGTCCAGTCTATTGGTAAGCACATCAAAGGCATTCTTAACTTCTGTTACAGTAGTTCATTTTTTAAATTTCCAGCATATCATTTTGACTCATTCCTCAGGTTTCCATCTCTCTGCTTACACTGCCCACATGTCTTTTCATGTTGTATATTTTTCCATTAAGCCCCTTATCGTAAGAATTCCAATTTTTTAGTCAAGTATAACACACACACCTATAATTCTAGCACTTGGAGAGGTTGAGGCAAGAGGATTGTGAGTTTGAGGTCAACCTGAGCTACATGGTGAAACCCTTTCTCAAAACAATAATAACAACAAAAAGAATTCCTGTTCTTTATTCATGAGCTAACATATACTAAATATTTTCTTGACCCTTGGTTTAATGACCTTGGTTTTAGGCAATTGGAATAATGTAGTTCATAGATTTTAGCCCATCATTTGACGATCTGTAGATACACCATGGATAAGTCATGAATTTATATGGCATTGAAAAAAGAATATATTTGCCACCGATAATACTTTCTTTTAGAATTTTCATTTGAATTTTTGATTCAAATGCTATTCTAATGCTGCATAACAAATTGCCACAAAACTCAATGGTATACAGTAATAATCATTATTTTATTTGTAATTCTAGGACTCTGTAGTCTATGAGAGCTAAAAGATGTCTGGTGTAGTATTGGCTAGGCTTGACTGGGGTTGAAGTATTCAAGGTGACTTCCTTTACATGTCTGGGACCTTACTATTAGCTAGGTTCCTCAGTTCTCCTTCATATGGTCTCTCTCCTCAGTTGGTCTCTTGTCATTGAGCAGCATAGTCCAAACTACAGGTGGTTTCTCACTTCAAAGAAGCAAAGTGAATTCTTCCAGGCCTCTTAAATTCTAGGCTCCAAAAATAGTACAACATTCTACTGGTCAAAGCAAGTCACAGGGCCATCCCTGATTCAAGGTGAGTGGGAAAAAGCATATCTTTCTATGTGACTTCAAAGTCGCATTACTATACAACAGAAGGATAGAAGGGATTGTTGTGACCATCTTCAGAAACAATATACCACATCTAATTGAAAAAAAACTTTTACACAATTTTAATAAATGTTCCTGTTTAAATGTAAGAAGGGAAAAATTGGCTAAGACGTTAAACTTCACGTACACAGTCAAACTCCTTTGCATCCTCTAACTTAGAGACATCAATATCAATATCTTTATTTTTCTACAGTGTCATCAGCAAAGTGTTTGGGATGAGGAGGACACCCAATAAGCAGGGGGGATTCAGCTTCCCAATTCCCACACAACTCACAAGACTTTGAAATCCACTATGAAAAGCATTCCAAGGGTTTCACAAAAAAAGGAAAGTCACAAGGTAGATGGCCAGCAAAGACTTATTTAGCAAAGCAGTATGACATGGATAGAAATAGAAATGGAAAGAGGAGGAGCATCCCCTGATACACACAGGAGAGAGCAAAGGGGCTTAAAATGGTGGTCCCTATCCCAGGTATCTTTATACCCTTTGAGCTGAGTATTCCAATTTGAACTTTTGCTTAAAAATGTGGTCACATTACCTGGTAACCTGTAATCATTTTTGTTGAGTTTCCAAGCATTGAGACAATGGGTTTAGGGTGGATTTATTATTACCCAAAACATGAAGACAATGGGTGTAGCCTTACTGACATCTTTTTCTGGTCAAAGAATAAATTCCCTAGACATATCTTCTGTTTTCAGAACATATTACTCATCTAAGGAGATTGTAACTTATTTAACATCTAAAAGGAAGTACAATGATAAGAATGCATGTATGTAACCTTCCAAAAAGATCAATTTAACTTAACTATTATTGCTCTAGTGATTTCTGTAGTCTTAAGTACTGATTTTGTCTAGTCCCTGCATCTACATATAATATATATAAATATTTCTTTAATTTCTGTCACCTTACTCTATCCTTCCTCAATGTAATAGTTAGTGTTCTCTTGATCATACCTGAAAGTGTAAACAGAAAACTTTCAAACAACAGTTCAACCCATATTACCTCTCCTAAATATCCCTAAATCTGCTGACTAAAATACCAAGGGTTTGTAGGTACTGAGTCATATTACCAGAAATAGTAACAACCAAGCCTTTGGAGAAAATGACAATTATGTCATGACTTATTCCTAAAAAGACAAGAATTAAGATGCCATCAATAACAAGATTATATTGATTGGAAGACACATCCCAAAAGGAGAAATGTGACCATGTTTCATAGACTAGTAATGGTTTTAGACAAATTTAGATTTGTTATAGCTAACTATCTCATACAACTAAAGGGCTTGAGACTGGTGGTCCCACTTTTTGTGGCACAATCTATTCTTGCCATGTTAATCTTCAGCTTCCATGATCTTCCTTGTTCACTAAATCTTCTGCACTAGACTAAGGATGAAATAAAGAATCCACTTTTTCTTTCCCTCTCAGCTCTCAGTTGAGTTAAATTTGATTTGAGACCTGAAAGTTCTTTTTCTTATAGAACCTTTCTAATAGCTGAAAAATAAACGCAATATTCTTCCACCAATTGACCTAACACCGTTTCTTAGTTTGATCAAATTTTTTTTAATTCTCTGATTTATATTCCACTATGAGGCATCTATTGATCATATTAGTACTGGTTCTATAAATTATTATTATATTAAAAAACGCCTCGCCTAAAGAAACCTCAACTCTACCATTTTGCCCAATAAACTCATAATCTTTTTACAGCTATTGACTATAGAAAAACTCAGGTCGATGCATGATAAATAGCTGATATGCCTTCAAGTTCTTTTAAAACAGGTTTGTGATTCCTTTCTTCATTGAACTGCCTAGAAATTATTTGTTAAACAAATCAGGTTTTTTACCTTAGGGAATATCCCTCTGCCAGATTTTTAGCAAGTATACCCTGTCATTATGCTCCTCTGTCCTCTATATTCCTTGAAATCTTTTGTTTTGTTTGCAGTACTTGGTAGCCGTCACTACTAAGAGGATCCAAATTCTCTGTAAGAATTAGAAAGGACCTTTCCACCCCACAACCCAACTGCAGTGGGCACGGCGTGCTGACGTCATCTCGCAGCGCCTGAATCACAGTTCAAAAAAAAAGGAGCGGCTTGGGTGGGAGTGGAGCTCACGTGACTCCGTGATCCGCCTTCCGCTTCTGTCAGAAGCTACGGAGTCGGATTGGCGAGGCCGGAGAGACATCTCTCCGTTATAAACAAATTGTGTACAGGTATCTAGTATCAGTTCATTGTTTCCGCCTGTTTTACTTTTGCCTTTTTCCCTAAGTACGGTAGCTTGACGGTGCCCAAACTAAAGATGGCGGCACAGGCGCTGGACCCTACCATACAGTCGCAGGTTTAGAGAAGCCTGTAGGCGGGTTCTGTGCGCCAGGAAACACGCCCGCTTCCTCCGCCCAGAGAGGGAGGTTCGGGGCGGGGCCCGTGGCCGGTAGTTCCTCGTCTGCGCGAAGATGGTGGAGGCGGAGAGCATCCGCGTGGTGCACTGTGGCGGCAGCGAGTTGAGCTTCAGGAGAGCGGTGTTCTCTGCGGATTCTAAGTATGGGGGCGCTGCGCGGCGTTGGCCGGGCTGAGGGGCGTGAGTCCCAGGAGGGCTGGGGAAAGAACTGTCTCACGCGTGTGCACTCCCAGCCCGCAGGTCTGGTCTCTGCGGCGGGGAGGCAGCGCGGGCCGGGAACCCGAGAGCCCCTGGGGAGGGAGCGGTGCCCGGGAAGGCGAGACATCCGCTGGTCCTGCCTGCCAGCTGGGGTGCGCCCCCCACCCTGGCCAGCTCGCCTGCTGGTAAACTGAGGGGCTGAGGGGCGGGTCCACGTGTTCAGCGGCTTGGGTGTGTCCGCCGCCGCTCTTCCAGTAAACACCACTCGAGTACAGAAAAATGTGTTGGTACAACTAAACCTTTAAGGTTACCTCTTCCCCCCCCCACGCCACGAAACACACACAAGCAAAAGGTATATTGGAAGCCCCCCCTTTTTTTTTCTTTTGCAGCTATGCATGAAAACTGATGTTCGGTTCTGTGGGAGGAAATCTGCCTCTCAGAGTTCTGGAGAGGATGAAGTGCCTCACTGCTTTACAAAGCTTTCTGGCTTTTAATGCCCGGTGTATGTTACCTATGTATTTATTGCTATATTGTATGATTTAGAAGTGACATATTGTGGTAAGAATAGATTTTCAAATCACTTAAAGAGAGAGTGCTACTTAGTAAAAATCCCTTTCTATCTTAGAAAAAGTGTAGATTGTATGTTAGAAAAGTCAGCATTCCCCCACAATATGCTGCCTGGATGTATGGTAGATAGTTGTTGAATGCACGCATGAGGGAAATTGAGTGTACACACACAGAGAAATTGACGACGGAGTCTTTACCAGCAGAGGAGGCTTTATTGATATTTGTCTTAGGAATCGGGAAGAAACTGAGGCTTAAAGAAGTTGGCAGAGTTTGGTCTCTTCAAACCCATATCTGTGTATTCAATTTTTTCCTCCTGTGTAATGTCTGGTTCTACAAGTTGTTCATTATACTCCATTGTACATATTATTTACTAAACCTGATAGTTCCTTTTGTCAACTATATGTTGTATATAACAAACTGACATGACAAAAACTAAGGTAATTCAAATACTGACCCTACCTCTGGGAACCTACAGTCTAGTAAGAAAAAGGAAACTCAGTAGTAGATGTTTCATACCATGGGAACTTGTAAGAAGAGATTACCTCACGCTGAGAGAGACAGAGAAAGTTCCTAAGGGGATATTTATGCTAAGCCTAAATAGGTGGATGGTATTTTCACTCTGAGATATGGATGAAAGGTATTCCTAGCCAGGGCACAATATAAGTAAGAAAGATGTATTTGTATTGAACAGGCTGGTATAGTTAGCTAGAAAGAATGGCATATGAAGAGAGCTTGTGGGGAATGAGGTTGGGAAAGGAACTTGAAGCTGGCTCGTGGTTGCTGTTTAGTCCAAAGAGAATTTATCTTAAATTCTGTAGATAAGGGAGCAGGATTATAATATGATTGTGTTTCTTGAAGAATATTAATCTGAAAACTGTAAAACTATGATATGTGTTGTAGAATGGAGAGGTCAAAGATGGGTAGGCCAATAGTCAAGGACCAAAGATGGCATAGAAGTTATATAGTCCAAAGTTTCCCTTCTTGGGAACCTAGCACAGTTTGCAGCAATGGCAAATTTTGCCTCAATGGTGCTGGGTAGGGTGCATTTCAGTCACAAAGAGCATCTTGAAATTTAGGGAGTGGGAAAGGAGAAGGAGCTTATATATAAAGTCAGTTGTTGCAGCACAGGGAAGTGGTTGGAGAAGGGTGGAAGCCAAGGATTAGAAGGCTAGTGCAGGCATCCCAGGAAAGGGAGTTTGGCTTGAACTAATTGTCCTTTTTATTTTTCAATTTCTTTCTTTTTTTTTTTTTTGACAGTACTGGGGTTTGAATTCAAGGCTACACACTTGCTAGGCAGGTGCTCTACCACTTGGGGCCATGCCCCCAGTCCTTTTTTTTGTTTGTTTTTCATTAGCATAACATTCATACATGTAAATAATGTACTTTGATCATACTCATATTCTCTCCTCATCCTTTCTTACCGCCCCCCCCTTTTCTTTTCTCTTTGCAAATAGTCCCCTTCTACTTTCATGTCATTTTCTTATTAAACCTAGATTCTGTATATAGAAAAAATGTGATCTTTGTCTTTCTGAATCTGGGTTGTTTTGCTTGAATCTGTCTTGTTTTCCTGCAAATGACATAATTTCACTCTATTTAAAAGCTGAGTAAAACTATATATATATGTATGTATACCACATCTTCTTTGGTAGCACTGGGTTTGAACTCAGGGTCTTATGCTTACTAGGCAAGTGCTCTTACCATTTGAGCCACTCTACCAGCCCTTTTTTTGTGATGGGATTTTTTGAGATAGGGTCTCATGAACTATTTGCCTGGGCTGCCTTCGAACTGTGATCCTCCTGATTTCTGCCTCCATAAGGCACTGGTACCTGGCTATACCACATCTTAACCACTCATCTTTGACAGACTCCTAAGCTGAGTGTATAACTTGTCTGTTGTGAATGAGTGCTGCAATAAACATGGGCATGCAGGTATCTCTGTTGTATGCTAAGTTATACTCTTTCAGATATATATGCCCAAGAATGGTATGGCAGGATCATATGGTAGTTGCATTTTGGGGTTTTTATTTTGTTTTCTGGTTTGGGGGTTTTTCTGGTGGTAGTATGGTTTGAACTAAAGCCTTTGCACTTGCTAGGCAGATGTATAACCACTTGTGCCATGCCCCAAGCTCTTTTTACTTTAATGTTTGAATAGGGTCTCCAGTTTATGCCTGAGCTCACTTGGACCGCTATTCTCGTTTCCTGCATAACTAGGATGACAGGTGTATACCGCTATGCCCAACTTTTTATTGGTTGAGATGGAGTCTCTTGAACTTTTTCTTGTGGCTGACCTTGAACCATGATCCTCTCGTTCTCCTGAGTAGCTAGGATTACAAATGTAAGCTATCTAACTGGCTGTGTTTTCAGTTTTTTGAGGAACCTCCATACTGATTTCCATAGTGCACTAATTTACATTCCTATCAACAGTGAATAAGATCCCCCCTCCAAACCACCCCCCCAAGAACAGATGGTTCTTGCTACCATCTGTTGGTTTTTTCCTTGTTGGAAGCCATTCTGACAGGTGCAAGGTAGAATCTCAATGTATTTTTGATTTGCATTTTCCCTGATGCAGTTTATCATTTATTAATTGGCCATGTGTAATTTGTTTTTCTTGGCTGTACTGGGGTTTGAACTCAGGACCTTGTGCTTGCTAGACAGGTGCTCTACCACTTGAGCCAGGCTTTTTATTGCTTTAGCTATTTTTCAAGTCTCACACCTTTTGCACAGGGCTGGCCTTCTGATAGTAATCACCTTTCCTACATCTCCTGCATAAGTGGGATTTTAAGGCATGCACCAGCACACCTGACTTGTTTGTTGAGCTGGTGTCTTACTAACTGGACTGGCCTTGAGCCACATCCTCCTGATCAGCTAGGACTATAGGCTGTGCCACTAACCCAGCCACCTGTGCTTTTCATTTGAAAACTGTTTGTTTCATTTGCTAGCTTATTGATACAAATATTTGTTCCTTGGATGTTTAATCTTTTGAGTGAACTAGACAACCTTGAAGATGGAGAGAAGAGCTGAATTGTTCGACGGTGTTTTTGGTTGTCTGTAGAGAAGCAAATAATTAAAACCACTTCGATCAAATGAACAGGCTGATAATGAACTCATCAAAGATTTGAATATTATCTGAAAGGTACTATAAGGGATTGGCTACCTTCTACAAACAGAAATAAAGTAATTTTGTTTTTTACATCAAAGTGCTTGACAAGAAAACTGCAATAGTAAAGAAAACTGGAATTTTGGCAGCTTTGGTTATCAGGTCTTCCTAGGACTAGAACAAAACTCTTCTACTTGCATGACTGATGTTGAGAGGAGCAGGGCAGGTGGCTGAACATGAACAGCAATTGTCATTCCCAAATCAGATGTCACTGCCTCTGCTCCAGTACCGTCTGCATCACATCATGCTGCTTCAAGTGTTATCGTCATGTTGTATTACTCAAACCCTTATTCCTGGTCTTGCCCTGTACTCTGTAATGGATTTTTTTTCACTAATGATAGCTCTTCTGTTGGCTTTCATGTCTTCATTGATGTAGCTCACCTCAACTTATCCATCTGAGTTTCCTGATAGTACATTATGTGCGTTTTGCTTATCTGATGGGTATATTTCTGTAGCATGTATGTGCCATGTTTGTGATTTGCTGGCTTTTGCTCATGCTGCTGTTTTTTCCCCTCCTAGCCTTTAAATCATACCTCCAGGGTCTAGTACCTGGCTTCTGTTTGAAACTTTTGCTAGTTTCTTTCTTGTCCTTTTTATCAACCGAGATGAATCTATGGGAGAAAGTTTTCACTGCCTATACAGTGCAAACAGTGAGGTTTAGAGAATTTGAGTAAATTCTCAAATGTCATTCAGCTAGTATGTAATGAAGCCAGCATTACCATTTGTGTTTGACTTCTTAAAAATACAATCTTTCCTACCATACTCTATATCTGTTATTAGTCATAATAAACACCCAGCTCTTCAACATAGAAGCTCACAGTCTGGTTAGAAGAGAAAGTGTGCAAACCATCATAATGTCATAGATCATATGGTAATTCCTAAGATGGAGCTGAGCCCAGCATCAGCACTGATGTTGATCTGCATAAGATGAGGAAAGTGTTCTAGGTGAGCGACCCCCAAGCTGAATGATGTTGTTGGATGGTTAATCTTCAGTGATGGAGATCCATCTACTGCTAAAGCTACATTTCTCAACCCTCAAGCTAAGTCTTAAAGTAAGTAAACAGAGTCATGTAAAACAAGGAAAGACTGAACAATCCCCCAAGCTGAATGATGTTGTTGGATGGTTAATCTTCAGTGATGGAGATCCATCTACTGCTAAAGCTACATTTCTCAACCCTCAAGCTAAGTCTTAAAGTAAGTAAACAGAGTCATGTAAAACAAGGAAAGACTGAACAATCCCCCAAGCTGAATGATGTTGTTGGATGGTTAATCTTCAGTGATGGAGATCCATCTACTGCTAAAGCTACATTTCTCAGCCCTCAAGCTAAGTCCTAAAGTAAGTAAACAGAGTCATGTAAAACAAGGAAAGACTGAACAATTGCCACCTATTGGAGAACTGTAGAGGTATGACAACTAACATGGTATTTTGGATTCAATTCTGGAACATAAGAGCGTAGTCATGTACATGGAGTGATGTTAATTTCTTTGTTTTGACATACGTACAGTGCTAACATTACAGGAACCTAGATGAAGCGTATATAGGAATCTGTTCTATAAATCTAAAACTATTTCAAAGTAAGAAGTTACAGAAAACTTACTCCCAGGAAATAAAAGGACATAGACAGAAAAAAAGTATGATTTATGTAGACAGCAGAATGTATAAAAGCATGAATATAAGAGTTGCCTTTCAGGGCTTGCATTCAAGTAATTAAAGCCATTATACTGTAATAAGGAGCAAGGGGAGAGGAAATTCCTTTTTTCTGAGGAAGTCTATCAGAATCAATTAGCAGGAAGTTTCTTGACCTAAAAGACCCCCATTTTCACTGGCATCTCAAGGGAAACCTGACTGAAGGAACTCAGTACTGATGGGGCATGGCCAGGAGCTAGAGTTCTTGGAGTTGTGAACCACTTGATTAGAGCATAGCATGCAAGTGAAAAAGTAGTTCTGGTCATGGGGTCACACGACCAAAGACCATAGGAGTTTAGATCATATCCTGAATGCAGTGGGAAGGATTTTTATTCAGTTCAGTCTTTTATGTGAACACGTGATTTAGTCAAATTTGCAAAATTAGTCTGAGTATGAAACCTGTCTTGAAAGACAGAAGACTATGGAGCCCTTAGAATGGTCTAAACTGGGGATGTCACATCTCTAAACTAAGGTTTTCTCAGCCATGAGGAGGAGGCTCCAGCCAAAGGGAGATCATACACTTCAGGTCCTTTGTGGCTTGTACTTTCCTGATCTTCTTAGTATCTTAGAAGTGATAAAATAGGGTAATAGCAACCCAGTCCACATCTTATTTTCTCTTTGCATTTTGTAAGTGTTTTATTGGTTCATGGTATCCAGTTGTTTCACAGCACTTTTAAAGATGGAGCAAGTTCTGTTCAATAAACTGGATTGAACTTTGGAAATCAAAAATAAATAGAGCTTTTGCTATCTAGAAAATCATTGCCAATTTAGGAAGGTAGACATATGAAAACAAGTAATTTCAGCACACTGTGAAAAGCATTAGGATAAAGTCATGTGCCTGGTGCTTCAGAAAATAGTCCATTTGAAATGCCCTGTGGTTTGTACCTTGCACAGTGTATTAAAAAAGTGTGAGACATAATAGGCACAGAGCAGACAATTTTATGTGGAAGATAGTAGGAAATTTTTATTTCTGAACTTTATCTTATAGGTAATAACCTATTATGGGAATAGTCAAATAAAAACTACTCCAATTTAACCATTTTTAGTAATTTAGTAGTCTGCTATATGAAAGAAAGCCACAAATCCAGAAAGATAAAAGCAAACCTAGCATTTTAGCAATAGGAAGGAAAGAAAGCTGACATAAAGTCTTTGTACTTTGGAGCTTACCAACTATAGCAGAGCCTTTGATTTAGCATGTGTAAGCTGATGTCCCCAGTGGTACATGGAGAATTTTGGAGCATGGGAACACAGCACCATAGCAGGATCATGGAAGAGTAATTGTTAACAGGAAATGATAGTTTCTCCATTCATTTGGTGAGCAGGCAACTTGGTTAGGCTATTCTTTGAAAATGATTCTGTATAGCCTCTATCTATAGACAGGCAAGAGATAGAACCTTGGCCTCATTAATCTCTTCCGAGTCAATGAATCAATCTTAGATGTCCCCATAGATTTAAACAGCACACAATTTCAAATGTACATTTCATGAACCATTTTGAAAGAAATCTCTGTTGCCTGTTATTTCTGTAATAAGCCATAAAAAGATTACAGTACTTATAGAGTATGTGAAATTTATTTTTCTTTCTTTTTTACCAGGTATATCTTCTGTGTCTCTGGGGACTTTGTTAAAGTTTATAGCACAACTACAGAAGAGTGTGTCCATGTACTGCATGGGCACAGAAATCTGGTGACAGGAATCCAGCTCAACCCCAACAATCATCTGCAGGTGCCAGTTTATAATTGAGCATTTTAATAGCAGCCTTGTTGTTGAGAGAAAAGTTTTGGTTAACTGCCTGAGAAAATTTCTAGGTTATGATCAGTTGATCTTATGATTTAGGATATTTTTCAGTTATTGCTAGTTATAGGATAGGATCACAACCTAGAACTAGATTGCTGATAGTGAATTGTATAAACCATTTATGTGTTCCACAGGATGCTTTATCAGTGTTACTTGAGAAAGATGTTTTTGACTGTATGAACTTTTGAAAGTTACACATGGTTAAATGACTTTCTTCCTTGTAGGCCTTTTCTGATCTCCCTTGTAGCATTGGCTTTGGGAATATCCAAAATACCTGTTCTTAAATAATTAGCAAAGCTACTAAAAATTTATTTCAACAATATTTGGCTCTTGCTGTAGCTTTTAACAAGTTCCCTTTTTGTAAACTAGTTACAGCCAACTTGAAAGTTATTGCTTAATTTAAAAATTGATTTGCTTTGTCATTCACTGCATTATCACAAAAGAAGTAGGGCATAAAGTAACTGTTCTTTTCTTTCCACAGATAAGTGAGCTATTTTTTGGGAAGGTGGGATAGTACTAGGGTTTGAACTCAGGGTCAAGTAACTTTTTTGCAGGGTCCAGGTACATTTTTTCTGATGATTTGATAAAATTCACTACTATGTATAGCCTTTGAATGTTTTTAATGTCAAAAAAAAAATACTCTGGTTAAAATCGAAACTTTTTAGCTGTGTATTATAGGTTCTATAGCCAAACAAAAAGCCATATACTCTTTTCATAAAAGTTCTGTTTAGGTAACTGAAAGTTAATAAAATCAGACAAGAGCAGTGTTATCAGTTAGTTTGGTTGAGCCTGGAGGGCAGAGGTTCTGTGGACTTAGGAGTCGCAGTATTTGTGTATTAACCGTTGTTTTGATAGTGAATATATACTTGACTTTATTTTGCTAACTCATGCTTATAATTCTTATTTGTAGTAGTTGATACATATTTTTTTTCTACTTAGTGCAGTTTTTTTACTTAAATAGATAATATTCTCTTATGCCAACAGTTTTTATTTCTAGACTCTGAATTCATGTCCCTTTTTGCAGAAATCCAAAAATTACCTCTTTCCTTCAAAAACCATAAGATTCTTTATAAACCTTACAAAGTATTTTCACCTAGCAACAACATCACCAAAAATGTAGTGTAACTTTAGTGAAAATAAGCCTACTGAGACAAAAATAAACCTACATGTTACCAAAGCCTTCTGGTTCTACCGCAGTGTGGTCCACAAACCCATGTCCTAAACTGTTGGTTACCACTCCACAATGATCCAAGAACAGAACTGAGCATCCTGAAACTTGATAGCAGTTTGACATTACCACATTTTTTCTTTTAAAAAAAGAAAACAAGAAACACATCTTCATGTAAGATGAAAGCAGTACATCTAATAAAAAGACCAGGTAAAATAGAAGGGAATTCCTGAATGTTTTCCATAGCATACTTTACCATGTCCTGTTTCAGATGTAAGGTTGACTTTTTCTCCTCAGTTTGAGTTAGAACTTAAAATCTGGGTTTGCTTCCTCCAGGGGTCTGTGATAAGACTGACTGTTTTGTAGAAGCAACACAAGTTGAGTATCCTTTTATCAAAATACTTGGGAACAGAAGTGTTTCAGATCTTGTAGTTTGGAAGGTTTGGGGGAATATTTGAGTTACTAGTTGAGCATCCCTACTTTGAAAACCAGAAGTCCAAAATGCTCCAAAGTCAGTCTTTTGAGTATCATGTTGAAACTCAAAATGTTCCAGATTTCGTATTTTCAGATTAGGGAGATAAATGTTCAACCTGTATAAACCTCTTTAAGGCAAATGACAAATTAGTTAACAGAAAGGGCTTTCTGTGTCAGCACTTAATTATCCATTCAATATCTGAATGAAATTCTACTTTTAATCTTTTTTTTTAATGATTTTTACCCTTTTAGCTGTATTCTTGTTCCTTCGATGGCACAATTAAACTGTGGGACTATCTTGATGGCATTTTGATAAAGGTATGTGGATTAATCGTCAGTTTTTCTGATACGAAAAGGTAAGACAATGCAATAATAGACATACTGTTTTCTTCTGTGACACCTAGACTTTCTGAGCAAGTTATGAAAGTCACACACCACTTAAAACGTAAGTTTGAGCATATAAAAATTTTTAATTTCTAACCAAAAAAGAAAAGTTAAAATACTGGAAAAAAATATTTAATAAAGTTATTATTTCTAATATATACACAAAAACATGCCAGATACCAATAAGGAAAAACCAGTAGCCCATCAGAAAACAGTGAGCATAGCACTGGCTTGTTGCTCAGTGATAGAGTACTTGCATCTGTGAGAGCCTGGCTTTGATCCTCAGTACCAGAGGGAAAAAAATTAGTTCAGAAAATAACCAGTAAACATGAAGAGGTGCTTAACTTTGTTAATAATTTGGACATTGTAAGTTAAAACACATGAAAGCACTTTCCCTGTCAGTTTGGCCAAAATGGACATTTTTGTACACAATCAGTGAGGGTAAAACTACATATAAATCCATTTTTTCTAGCATTCTTATCCATAAGAGACTCATTGATATAATGGCTTGTATATATAGCACTTGCAGCTTCGTTTTTTAGAAAAAAATAAATGTAACCTTAATATCACTTAAAATTATGGTACATTCATTCAGTAGGATATTTAGAACCACTGAAGAGTCAGGTAGATGATCACTATGTCCAAACCTAAGTTTATTCAGTCAGTGTGTACTGATGGTCTTTAGACCTAGTGTCCTCTTGATGGGACAACAGCTGTAAGCAAAGTAGTTAAAAGGCCTCACCTCTGTGGAACTTAATGTTCTGCTTGGGGAAGGCAGATAATAAATAATACGGTGCTTTTTATCTTTCAGACTTTCCTTGTTGGACATAAACTCCATGCCCTCTTTACTCTTGCCCATGCCGAGGATTCTGTCTTTGTTATAATAAATGAAGAAAAACCAGGTATAGTGTCATGCACTTTTGATTTTATATGGCATCAAGTGGCTCTTTATGTTTTACAGTTTCTCACATTTCAGCATTTTCATTTTAATCTGAAGCTAACAGTTTTTGGAGTTAGAATTTAAATTGCTTACATTATCATTACATTCATTTGAGGAGGCTTTCTATCAGTTTGAAATATGCAGTGAGGTGAGACCTCTAAAAAAAAAAACTGTCTTCCTTATGAACTTAAATCTATCATTCTTAAGTATCACTATCCTTTTACCTGTTTGCAAATTCCCATTTGTTGATCTGGAATCATTATAGCTAATAGTGTAGAAAATAGGTTGATATTAAGAACTAGCCGTGTGTCTGAAATTACTATATTTTATCATCATTGGAACATTGTTCCACGAAACATCTATGTATCAGCATTTCAGGAATTTCTGGGGTATTGACAGTGGTTGCAAATAATTGTGCTTCATCAGAGGATTTGATACAGATATTGACATGAAGGATATATTGAAAGAAATTTTCTAATCCCAGAATTTAAGAATGCCACTGCATGCTGTGCTATCTGCCATAAAATACAGTTGTCTTCAGAATTGAAAGCTTTAAGATGATTACCTGGCAGTCAGCTAGACTGGTTCATGATTTATTAACTAAGTGAATCCTTCTATCATATTTTTGTTGTTTGGGGGATTTTGCTGAAACATCTGTAATTTATATATCATAGATCTTTTAATCCATGAATAGTCAAAACTCTAAAGCAGACAAGTATATTGACTTCTTTAAAAAATTTACAAAATTAGCCTATATCTAGCCATGCATGGTGGTGCACACCTGTAACCCAAGCACTGGGGGCAGAAGGGGAGGGGCTGGGGCAGGAGGATCCTGAATTCAAGGCCTGCTTGGGCTACACAGTGAATCCATAGTGCAACCAAGGATTTGGGTATGTAGCTCAGTGGTAGAACACTTGGCTAATGTATAAGACCCTGGATTCAATCCCCAGAACCCCAAAAATAAAAATATTAAAAACCTGAGAGCTAAATATCTTTTGGTTAAAAGTCAGTTAGTGCCAAATCTGGTAATGAGTGATACTGTGTCAAGAATGTGGTATGAAAGGCACATACTTGGGAGGCAGGAGGGTCATGAGTTCTAGGTCAGCCTCAGTTACACAGTGAGAACCTGTCTCAAAGAAAAAAAACTGAAATGGCAACATTCTTAAAATAATTAAGTCATCTTCCCAGATGACATCTTCAAAGGTACCATGTTTTTCCCTGTTTAATTTCTGTTTTGTATAGAAATATATATACTCTTGATATTAGTCCACATGATTACTAAAAATTCCCATTCCCATTAAAATGTACCTTAAGATCCAGTTACAATCATGGCATTAGAGTAGCAAGTAAATTTCATGTGACTAAATGCACATGTTCACTTTTCTTTGAAGAAGCTTTAAAGTAATATGGCTTCCTTTTGCTAGATATATTTCAGCTGGCTTCAGTGAAACTGCCAAAATCATCAAGTCAGGAAACAGAAGCTAAGGAATTATCCTTTGTTTTGGATTATGTAAACCAGTCACCCAAGTGCATTGCTTTTGGAAATGAGGTAAATTTGTTTCATTGGTTTTCTGTCTTACATATAACATCTCTTTTCTGCAATCTTTCCTGAGCATCTTATGTTACAATTATAATGACTTTATATTGCCTTGAATTACTGTGTTTTTTAGTAACTAAGAAATTTCTTTCATTGCTTAGAGTATAGACTTTTAGGACCATCCCTATTTTGTTTATTCTGGCCTATTGTCCTTAGAAGTCCTCAAACTTTCCTCAAAATAACAATGTTTTGTATTTGTGCTGTATTTCTTTGCCTGTCCCATATAAGAACCACTCAGTGTTTCATTTTACATTGTGTATCTAGAAAATATGTCCTTAAAGCCATAATTAATATGTCCTTTATAAAAAAAAAAATTGGCACTAAAGAAAAAATATTGTGAGGAAAGAAAATCTATGATCTCACCAGTGACAATAGTTAAGAACTCCCTTTCTTGAGTCAATGCCCTGTATAGCTATCCTTATCTCAACCAGCAAAAACCCTTGTTCCTTCCTATTATTGCCTATACTCTACAACAAAATTAGAAATAAGGGCAAAATAGTTTCTGCTGGGTATTGGGGGGGTGGGGAAGTGGATGGTAAGGGAGGGGGTGGGGGCAGGGGGGAGAAATGAATCAAGCCTTGTATGCACATATGAATAATAAAAGAAAAATGAAAAAAAAAATTTTCACATTGTTCAGGTAAGTAAATTGTGCTGTAGGGAGTGCAAGAATTTAAACACAAACTCATCAAATCTACAATGTCAGCAAGATGAGTGTTCAATGTCAATTGGTAATAAAGGGGTTGATAGGTGTCCACCCATCAAATATGTCAACAGACATACAACACACAAAAAAATCACAAGGCATCTGTGTATATATTTCCTTTACGAATTATTTTTAAAAAATCACTGATAGGAAGAATGTTTGAAATGTTTTCATTTCTCACTGTTTTATTTTCTTCAAACACCCACAAATCCAGTAAAATATCTGGTATATTAGGCTGATCTTCACTTTTATTTTTTTCTTCATTTTGTGTTGTTTATAGCAAGATGATAATACTTCAATGCTGTTCATAAATCTTCAGATTTTCAGTTTTAAGTTTCATGCTGAAGAAAAACCTAAAAGTTGTTTTCAGACCATTTTCATTTGTATTCAGTTTGTTTCCATACATTAAATACATTTATATTCATATTAAATATAAAAAAAAAAAAACTCCCTTTCTAGACTTAAACATGTAATATCTTTTTCCAAAAGAAATCAGGATCAGAAATCTTTCTCTTTTTTTCATCTTAACATTACAACATGAGGGCTGGTGGAATGGCTCAAGTGGTAGAATACCTGCCTAACAAGCGTGAGGCGCTGAGTTCAAACCTCAGTGCCTCCAAAAAAAGAGAAAGAAATATTTGTTAACATTACAACATGAGTGTATAATAAAGTATTTTGTACAGATATCATGTGATGCCCACACCATGGCTTCATTCCATATTAATAATTACTTTATTATTTTAAAATCAAATACCATTAAATGATATCACTGTAGTTGCATGTTTCTTTAGCGTTTTGTACCATTATTTTGTTATTCTTCTGAAAAGGAGTTTCTTTCAGAATAGAGAATACATTTTTTAACATATCATCAATCACTAGTCATCAATTCAGAGCTCAGCAAGGTACCACTTCACATCCACTGGAACTGCTAATGTTGTTAAGATATGGAGCAAAGTTACAGACTTCTGCCAAGTCATTCCAGTCCTAGGCAGAATGAAAATACGACCACAAAATGATAATGTGCAGTAATTTGTTGTTCACAATAACTCCAAGATGTAAATAACCCAGATGTTCACCAACTAGTGAATAAGCAAATGCGACATGTATTTCCTCAGTGGAATTCTACTCAGCTATGAAAAAAATTAACAATATATGTAAGAGTGGATAAACATCAAAAAGATGATGTTGAGCAGAAGAGTCCTGGGACAAAAAGGCAGGGCAATAAGCTGTGATGATGGAAATGAGTAACTGCTTGTGGGGGGGTGGGGACATTGAGAAATAACTAAAGAAGAGCAAGGGAATATTTCTGAGGTGAAGGAGGTGTTTTAGATCTTCATTGTGGTGTTGTTATGTGGATGTATACATACATATGTATGCTACAAACAATACTTTATTGTATGTTTGTCTCAATAGAAAAAAAACTTAAATCATTATACTTCAAAATATCTTAGGATTTAGGACATTTGTTCATCTGTAGCCAAAGAATAGTATATCATTTTATGTTAATGCAGTCTTAGTAGTGTTAACTATTTTTCTGAGTATTATCTTGTTATTGAAACACCAGGGAGAATATGTTGCTGCAGTACGGGATTTTTACTTGTCTGTTTATTTTTTAAAAAAGAAAACAACATCAAGGTAAGAAATCTTTTTTGCTAGCTTTGTTTTATGTACTAAAGAGCTTGTTACAATTTTATTTCATCCACATTACCTTTGATCCACGAAGAATAGAAGGGATAATAAGGAGAATGTTAGTTACAAAAACTTAGGGAGCCTTTTCCAGCCTAAATAAAGTCCCTATACAGTACACCTAAATTATTGTAGTTTGTATGCTTGGTGTCAAAATCTGTAGATTGAAATCATTGACGAGGTTGATTCTCATTGCCATTTTATAGCTGTAGAAATAAATACAGGTTTTGGAATACCTAGGTTTAAAATGGGTCTGATTTAGTCCATTTGGAATCCTGTGTACTTGACTAAAATAACATATTTAGAGAGACTGCTGAGCATTGAGTAATCAGTACTGTTCAACACTGTCCCCCTTCTCATTTACCCTTGTAAGATTAACAGTTGTTTTCTTTGCAGTATAATAAGAATCTTGACTTGTTAAGAGCCAGAAGACTGGCAAATACTCAGCCTAAGAATAAGAAATAGCCTAGATATTATAGTGAACAGACTTACTTTTTAAATGTCCCTTTATACAAATTAACCATTTGTCTTAGATATAATTTCTTAGGCTTGTCCACCCATCATCCTGAAATTTAGATTCAGTAAGAAATTTGAAAAAGCTGTGTCCCCAGCCAAGAAAAGCCACTGAAAGGACTATCATTCCATTGCTTACATGCCAGTGGCTTTCATAGACAAGTTATGGTAGGATATTAGTCATGTGAAGTTTATATTTATTAATATGTTTACAAAACAATGCTGGATTCTTGATCAAATTTTTCTTTTTAAAAAAATCCTGCATTTCTATTGATTGGATTCTGAGAGCTCTCCAGTTTGGGTTGATAAGTTTTGGAAATCTCTTTCTTAATTACATCACCACTACATGAGTCTGAGATAACTTAAGGAAAAATTTTTTTTCTCCTAGGTTTACTTTATCATCATCAGGAAATAAGAAAAATGCTAAGAACAATTTCACATGTGTAGCATGCCACCCAAAGGAAGATTGCATCGCATCTGGTCACATGGATGGCAAAATTCGTCTTTGGTCAGTTGACTGATTTATATACTGTTTTACATTAACCCTGCAGAATGGGCCTTCTCTGAATCCAGGAAGAGGGACCAAACTGAAAAGCCACTGTTGATAATAGGGACTAGGCTCTGCCAACACCCTCCATTCCTTTTATTATGCTCTTTGTTTCATACTTAATACTTTAGAATCCTAACTTTGGGTTAGGGTTTATAGGAAGAGTGAAAAATTCCATGTTGCCTATGACCATTTTACTGAAGAGAACTTTTCTGTCATCCTTTACCCAAAAAGGCAAGAGTGACAATAATGAGTGATAGGATACTATAGATGACATACTGTTTGTAGAAGTGATTTTTAGGAATAAAAATATACTTTTTACACATTAAGACCAGAAAGTTTGATACTATGATTTATTACATTTAGCATGCCATTATTTTCCTAATTCACAGGGCTGGCAGAGTGGCTCAACAGGTAAAAGCACCTGCCTAGCAAATGTGAGGCTCTGAGTTCAAACCCCAGTGCAGCTAAATAAATAAATAATACAGCCAACAAAAAACAAAACAAAGCCAAAAACATAAAAAGAAAGTAAAAGTTGCCCAGAAAAAAAATCTGCCATTTCCTGTGAGCTGGTGTAGTGCCTAGCAAGTGTGAGTGAGGCCCTGAATTCAAACCCTAGTGCTGCCAAAAAACAAATAAAACCTGGCCATTATTTTCCTGTTCGCATCTAGGGTCAAATTAAGAATTTGTTTTTCTCCAATAGGAGGAATTTTGGTGATGAGAAGAAATACATGTACACATGTTTACATTGGCACCATGATATGGTTATGGATTTGGCTTTTTCAGTGACAGGTAAGTGCAGAGTTAACATTAAAATGAACTTTTAAAATGTATGAATCAAGTGTTTTAAATTTACTACATTTATACTTTGAGCAGGGTTTACATCTATTATCTGACTGAATCTTTGATGCTGTGAAACATGTATCATTAATTGTCATTTTCAAATGATGTGAGGTTTGGAATCGATAACTAGCCCAGGTCACGTGGCTAGTGAGATTCAGATCTAGGTTTGATTCAAAAGCTCATGTTTTTATAGATTGTCTCATTCAATATTCACTGTTTTAAATTAATTCAGACCTTTATTCCATTTAAGTTGCATGAAAATGTGGCTATATTAAACAGTACCTCCTGAAATTCTGTCCTTAACAGAAACGTGAAGAAGCACATTTTGTCTTGAGTTACTGTCAGCATCCTCAAACCCATGTGGTGAAAGTTATATCAACATATTATGACAGAGTGCTAGAAAAGATTATGCACCTAGAAAATGACTTCTTTTTGCAGACAGGTCTTAGATGGTGCCATGTGCTCTGGATCCATAGAGGTTTCCTTGGATTTAACTCACTAGAGCCCCAGGAAGTAGGAGGCATTTTCAAACTACTTAAGCTTTGGATTTGGGTAACAATGACCAGTGTATGCAGGCAAGACCCAACCTAACACAAGTATAATACAACAGGAGTACTGTTCTGACCTAAGAATTGAAACTAGAAAGAACATAAAGAGAAATTAACCATACCAGTAAAAAATGTAGGCTACTTTCTTATCTTCTCCACCCCCTTTTCCACTTGCCTCTCAAAAATACCAATGACTATTTGTGTGGTGGTGCACTGGTGTGCACATGTCAATTTATATGTTCCACACCATGTATTTTCCCTCCCAATCTAAGCTCATTTCTTCTGCCCTTCTTCAGTTTGTTTCATTGCTTTAGCCTCTGCCTAAATCAGGGCAAGGACTAATTGTAAACGTATAATAATATGTAATGTAAACTTTGGATGACTAATAGCCTACCATAATAATTTGTCTATGGGAGCCACTGACATTTAAGTAATGGAAAAGTTCTCCTTTTAAGTGGCCTTTTTGGTCTGTGCACAACTTACTCAGATTTCTTATTGAATCTACCCTTTAGTGTGAGGTATGGACAAACCTAATAAAGTTCCATCCTCTTCAATATACTTGATTTCATGTCATTGGAGTATATACCCAGTAGTTGGATATCTGAGTCAAATGGGACTTCTGTGTTTGGAGGAGCCTCCATACTGTTTCCCATAATGGCTGTACTTAAAAATTTTACATTCCCACAACCTCACCATCATGTTTTCTTGTGCTTTTTTGGTAATATATGGTAATTCTACATTCATTGCAGTTTTAATTTGCATTTCCCTCATGGTTAATGATGTTAGACAGTCTTTCATATACCTGTTGGCCATTTGCATATCTTTTGAGAAATGTCTAGTCAGGTCTTTTGCCCATTTTCAATCATAGTTTGTTGGACTTTTTTTGAGTTGTTTCCGTTCCTTTTTTATATAATGTAGATATTAACCCATTACCAGAAGTATGGCTTGCATTTATTTTATGCATAGATTGTTTCTTTAGTCTGTTGGCTGTTTCCTCTGTTGCATAATAGGGTGACTTTAGCGAATAGTAATATAGCTAGGGGAGATTTTAAATGTTTCTCCACAAAGAAAAGATCGATGTTTCGGTGATGGATATGCTAATTACCCCAATTTTATCATTACATAATGTGTAGGTGTATGGAAACATCACATTGTGTGCTATAAGTTTGTGCAGTTACTGTGTCAATTAAACACAAAATAAGACTTTAAAAATAGCAAATACAACATCAGATTAAAAATGCTATGAGGGCACTTATGTATTTCTAAAGAGTATTTCTTTGTTTTGCTATGAAAATAAAAGTGTTAAATATAATATTTGTTTTTTCCCAAAAAAAAAAATACTGCCTTTTTAATTTATTTGTGTGCATGTGTGAAGGCACCAGTCTGCTGAGCGGTGGGCGTGAGTGTGTACTTGTAGAATGGCGTGATGCAACAGAGAAGAATAAGGAGTTTCTCCCTCGGTTAGGAGCTACTATCGAACATATCTCCGTGTCACCTGCAGGAGATTTATTCTGTACTTCTCACTCTGATAACAGTAAGTCTCAATTTCTTATTGTGAGGAAATATAAGTTACACAGTGCCAGAAGTCAGGCTTCTATAGATACGGTAAATAAAGAAACCTAAAACTAAAATTAAGAGTAGTATAAGATTTGATGTGTGGGGTTTTTCCCTTCCATTTCTCCTCTTCCCCTCTCCAACCCCAGATGCCACCAGAAGGGCAACATTTTTTGTTTTTATGAAAATGAAAGGCTAAGTGTGTTTTGCCACTTATATTTTCAATACCTTTTAAAGTAGGAGGTAGGGGGAAGTAAAAAGAGGGTTTTAAAGAGGGCATTGGTGCTTTAATAAATAAGAAGGCACTTCCAGAAGAATACTCTGTGATTCTCGTTTGACATTTTCTCAGGGTGGGTAATCATGTGGATTGTGATAGAAATTGAGGCACTCTTGGTCTTCCTCTAGGCTCACCCCATTACTACTCATCCTAGATGAGAGCCTCTTTCTGAATCTACTAGCCCATTGCTTCCTTTCCCTTCAAAAAAGAAAGGAACTGAGCAATCCATTAGTGGCATGACTTATTTCAAAGTTAAACTGTCTTTTGTATGTACTCCAGATATGTATGGTTTCTGAATTAACACTTAATGTAGTCATAGTTACACTTTATAAATCTTAATGAAAACTTAACAGAAAAATTTCCATCATCACCCCTAATTTTTCAACTAAATTGCAAAATATAGTCCTGATTTTTTAGTAACACTCAGACTTAATTGAATTTATTGGGCTGTTTTGTATTCTGGCATATTTAAAATGACATAAATTTAGATGACTTCTTCACCTTGAAGTTATAACCTATTTTTTTTTAACTCACAGAGATAACAGTTATTCACCGAAACCTTGATGTATCTGCAGTAATTCAAGGCCTAGTAAAAGGTATTGATGAATCCAGTAGATTTAGAGTTATGTGTGTTTTAGGAGTGAGTGTTTTTGTGACTTCAGCTATTATATATCACTTCTTTTACAGATAGGAGTATTTTTACTGGTTTGATGATTGACCCAAGGACTAAAGCATTAGTTTTGAATGGAAAACCTGGTCACCTGCAGTTTTATTCTCTCCAGAGTGATAAACAGTTATATAATGTAAGATTTTGATTCATTAATTAGTCATAAAACTAATGAAAGCTTTTTACAGTTCCACTGGAGTCAAGTAATTTATTTTGTAGTTTCTAATGCATGAGCTTATGACTATATTTACTTGAACATTGTCGATATTAATAATGATTACTCAGTTCATGTGTCCACAGTTGTATAATACGTTAAGTAAATAGTACTCTCACATTTGCTCTATTTTACTTTGTTTCAGAATGCACTCAGTTGTCCCACACAGCCATGCCTTTCTGTCACAAACAAGAAAAATTGAGTATATATTGATTGGTAGTACAAATCTGTATCTGCTCCATGGTGAGACAGCGTCATACTCACAAACCAAAGATGAAAGTTTCAGTGTATATTAAAGCGGAACACTTCTAATAATCCTGATAAATGCAATCCCACCTGTCCTTGTGCACACAGTACTCTTCATAGGTTTCTACCATAGAAACTGAAACATTTTATCTCTTTCTCCGCATGTCCTTTATACCCCTCAAACAAAGAAGCCAGTTAATACCCCCACATCTAGTAAGTGGGCCCAAAGTATATTTAATAAACAGGTTGAGCATCCCTAATCTCAAAATCCAAAATCCCAATTGATCCAAAATCTAAAACTTTTTGAGTGCCTACGTGACACCACAAATGGAAAATTGCATACTTGACCTATGTGATAGATCACATCACAATGCAAGTGTGTAAAATTTTGTGCAAAATTATCTCAAGCTATGTATATAAGATGCATATGAAACATAAATGAATTCTGTGTTTAGGCCTAGATATTGCCCTCAAGATAACTAATTTACATGCAAAGATTCCAAAAAAAAAAAAAAGCACTTCATGCCCTGAATTTTTCAGATAAAGGATATGCAGCCTATCATAACCATTTTATTTACTTAGTAAAAAAGCAAGGAAATAGGATTTAAAAAACAACCTTAAATAAAATTCTGGCCTTCTTGGACCATTGCTTATCTTCTTTTTTTTTTAAGCGTCTTAAAGATTATAAGTTTATTTTTTCTCTCTTATTTGTAGTGATAGAGAATTAACTTTGTGATTTTATATAACACTATTCTCATAGAGAAATACACTGCTGTAAGCTAAAGATTCTGTTCAGTCATATAATGGGTCTTAGTTGTCACTAATATATCAAAGTCATTGAAGAATAGTCACTTCCAAACTGATGCTATACACTATGTTAACCTTTTTAATGAGCTTTGATATCCAGAGTAGTAATTGGTTCATTTTTCCTGTTATCTAAAAAATCTGTTAACCATAGATTTTAGAAGTTAGATGGATATAGTTCATTATTTCTTGAATGCTTTAACATTTATGTACTTATATTAATAGACATTTTGAATTCTTTTTAACCCCATCAGTTAGATATTATACAGCAAGAATACATCAATGATGATGATCTGATCCAAATTGAACTAACAAAGGCTGCATTTGGCTGCTTTGGTAAATGGCTTGCAACAGTGGAACAACGACAAGAAAAAGAAAGTGAACTTGAATTACAAATGAAACTGTGGATCTATAATAAGAAAACACAAGGGTAACACTACCCATATGGCCACTTCTTAATTTCAGAGTATAAGTTTGAGTTTCTACTTAATGGTTGTAAATGTCAGTCTTTAAGCTATTTCATTTTGATAGATTGAGAGATATGGGGGAGTTATTCTTCTAATAAACCCTATAATTAACCTTTCTGTTCTCAGAAAGCATTATCCTCCAAGACTTACTGTCATCTCATTGCATAAATAAGGAAACATGAAAAAATATCACCCCCCCAGGTACATATGCCCAATTCTAGGCAAGTCGAGAATTAGAATCCAAATGTTCTTTGCTCTTCAATTAATGTCTTGCTACTTTCCTTTGGAAAGTGAGAGTATAGTTGAGGTGTACTGTAGCATGTGCTTTTATCCTGTTGTCTTGATGATTTTCTAAAGAACATTGCTAAGGTAAGCTTGTGGCCTGTATTTTACAAGTGAGGAAACAGGTCCAAAATTAAGTGATTGTCTCTAGTTAGCCCTCTTGTAAACTGTGCTCTTTTTTTTTCCCCTAAGATGATGCTGCCCTAGTATTGTTTTTAAAAACACAGCATTTCCTTCTTAAGAGACAAACATTGAGAGCTAGTTTGGGTGACTGGAAATAGTAAATGACCAGGGCAGTTGGAATAGGTAGTTTCCTTCCACATTTTCTTGCTATGCATGGGGCCTTTCACAGCCACTCCATTTTTTGTTTTCTTTTTTCTGTCTGCTTTCAGAAGTAGACAGACACCTGGATTCTATACTGTACAATTTTTCTGCAGTTTGATATAGTAAGCTTCAAGTATGATTGATCAAGTGCCCCTATTTTATACCCATGTTGTACCAGAGAGTTGACTATTTTACATAACAATCTATGTGTCACATAAGACTATGGGTGATGTGTTAGAACTATTTTTGGTAGTACTGGGATTTGAACTCAGGGTCTTGAGCTTGGAATGCAGGCACTCTGCCATTTGAGCCATGTTAGAACTCTTTGCATTTTGTCATTATTAGAGATAAAAGTATGCAGTTATTTGTCATTCTAGGTGATAATCTGTCAGTTGCCCATTCTTAAAGATGCTATCATATATCATGTTAGAAGGCTCATATGACAATATATCTTACTGTCCTAGTGTAAACATAAATTTGTGCTTTCCTTTCTACTAGATTCATTCTCAACACGAAGATTACCATGCCACATGATGACCACATCACAGCTCTCTGTTTCTGTAATACAGAAAAAACTGAAAAACCTTTAACCTTGGTTACAGCGAGCAAGGATGGTCACTTCAAAGTATGGATATTGGCAGATGATTCTGACATATATCGTAAGTTAACTAAACATGTTGAAAGTATATACAGTTTTAAAGTTTGAAGTATTGATGTCATGATTTGGATCCATTGTAGAGAACAATTTTTTCCTTGTTTAGTTCTATCCACTATTGCTTAATTTTAGTAGATCTATACTTTTTATGTGCCTTTCCCTCAAAATCTGTACTTTGGGAAAGTAAATGGCAGTCTTGATTAATAATATGCTGATCAGTTTATGAGGCTACAGTAAAAAGGACTTTTGCCATTCTTTCTGTGCTCCACTAGAGGGAGATCAAGGTCTCCAGGAAGGGGCATAAATTTCAAATCAGTCAATAGTAATGAACAGGGTTTTTGTTATTGTGTGTCTTTGGTTTTAACCCTTATTGCTTATAGCATCTCTATAATTTTACCTCACATTTATTCCATTTTTTAATGTTGTGGCTTATATTTTCACAGAAAAGGCTGTTGGCTGGACCTGTGATTTTGTGGGTAGTTATCACAAGTATCAAGCAACTAACTGTTGTTTCTCTGAAGATGGTTCTTTACTAGCAGTTAGTTTTGAGGAAACAGTTACAATATGGGATTCAGAAACATGGGAACTTAAATGTACATTTTGCCAGCGGGCTGGGAACATAAGGTAGGTAAATCACTTGAGTAGTGTGTAGTACATTTTTTTTTAATTAAGTCTTTAAACTTTAGTAATCATTTATGCTTTCCCCAGTATAGTAGCCTGTCTGGGAGACAAGCAGCTAACCAAAATGTTAGGAAGCTAAAAATTCCAAGTGTGTGAACTATATGCCAATATTTCTGAAATGGGATTAATATTTAATTCTTTGCATACAGCTTTTTTCTTTGTAATAATGACTTTGATGAGTGTGCTATGTAATAATAGGAATTACAAGTAAGCCTCAGTGGATCCGGATAGCCAGCTCTACCATTTGAGCCCCATATCCAGCCCCCTCAGTGGATCCTGAGATGCTTGTCTTCATGTATTCCTATAAAAACTATGTGATACTCAAACATTGTTTCCTGAGAAGAGCAAGGAAAATAACAGTGCTTTCTGATTTACTTCTGATAACTGGGAATGAGGGCAGAATGGCAAGTAGCTAATAAAATAGTTTCTAATTCCCAACATGTCTGATTCTGAATTTACTTTGTAAAACTTTCTTCAGAATTACAATTACAGGCCACACATGGTGGCACACACTTGTAATCTCAGCACTAAAGAGGCTGTGCAGGAAGATTACAAATTCAAGGCCAGCCTACATGAGTGAGACCCTATCTCAAAAAAAACTCAGGTTGCAAATTTTCTTCACCTAAGAGCAAAAAATAGGGGTTTTGTCAGGTGACTTAGTGTATTCCACATACATTTTCTCTAATAGGAGTTGATTGTTACTTTGTACAATGTGTGAAAGAATCAGTCATCAGCATGTTTTTCTGAGGAATAAAGTACCTAAATAAGCCTTTTTCCTTCCAGATAATTAGAAACAAAAACATGCTTCTGTTTTAAAATGCACAGTGCATAAAACTAACACAGTGTCTGAAACCTGCAGCCCTTTTTAGTAAATATGCTGCAATTGCCTGTTGCTAAGTTCCTTGTGGTTTTAACCTAGGCACCTTTGCTTTGGGAGATTGACCTGTTCAAAGTATCTTCTTGGCTCTACTGAACATGGCATTCTTTGCTGTTGGAATCTGCTCAGTTGTGCATGTAAGATATTTTTTACTCTAATGTGACTCAGTAAAGCTTATGGATGAAGTTGCCACTAAACTTTGACATTTTCAGGCTGGCTGAGTGGTTCAAGTGGTAGAGTTCTTTCCTAACAAACATGAGGCCCTGAGTTGGAACCCCAGTACCACAAAAAAAAAAAAACTTTGGCATTTTAGGAATTAGGGATTATCTCTTTATAGATCACTTATAAACCACCTAGTTGTCAGCAAATCATCTTCCAGTATCTTTACCTTTTCCCACTGTCTTCAGGTATCAGACTTTCTGTTGCCCTCTGTATTCTTCATTCTCATAACATACTGAGGAATGCTTCTGCTAATTTGTAATGCGTATTAACCTGCAGGATCATTGACAGCATAAAATTTGAATGTAGTCTGCCACAGCTCTTACAAATGGAAATTGAAAAAAAATGGAAATTGAATGGCATTTTACTCATTTGAGTGTATGGAAGATACAGTTGTTTAGTAATGAATGTGTAAGATTCTCTGTGGTGATTCTTAACATTTCATCCACGTTTAGCAGGAGCAGAAAAGCACTACACATAAATGCAAATGAGACCAGCATTTTCTTACTATATGAAAGAAGTATCAAAGTTCCATTTGGGGTTTTTTTGTTTTGTTGTTTTGTTTTTTGCTTCTTACCACTCCCCTTAATGCAGTCTTCCACAGACAGTGTCATTGTGTCTCCATTGTTAGTTTGGAGCATAAAATCCTTCTACCTGAAAATAAAAGAATTAATTGTCCTAGTAAACATTAAGAATACCAACTTTAAACAGAAAGCCTTTAAGAGTTCTTGGTAAATCTCTTAGAAATGAATCACCTTTTCTGCCCCCACAGTGGAATGGAGTGCAAAATTAAATATTAAAGTTATGGAACCTGATCCTAATTCAGAGAATATTGCTGCAGTCTCTCAGTCTTCAGTGGGTTCAGACTGTAAGTACAAGCTGTATTTTGATAGTAAAAAGTTATCTGTTGCCTAAATTTTCTTTTTAATGTCTACTATAATTTGAATCAAACTTACCCTCAAGTCAGATAATGAAACCACTTTGCCTGGTGCCTGCCCTCTATTTCTTTCTCCCATACTTTGTATTATATACATTGATACTTAGTTCTAGGAAAACTCCAGTATATCCCTTACTTTTCCACAGGCCAATTCCTATTCACTTTTCAAAGTCTAATAGTGATTTCACCTCTTTGATGCATCACCAACTCCTCTAAGAAGCTTTAACTGGACCTTGTCTATGCTTTTGAAACAATTTCTTCATCTCCTTTTATGGCACTTAAGACAAAATACTTGTCCAAAATGTTTTGGTTCCTGTCTTCAGTACCTGCTGGTCTCTAGAGCAGGGATCCTTCTTTCTTTTTTTTCAAGTTCATAGTCCTCATTCCTCACCTGCTTGGATCATAGTAGGTACTCCATACATGCTAAATCAAAACCTGAACCAGTTATGAGGTAGACCACTTACTCAATAGGGTGAGTCCCAGAAGTAGTGTGACCAGTCTGAAGCTAGAACTAACCTTTGCAGACAAAAGTCAATGTCTATTTGTTTTTCCTCTGTAGTGTTTGTATTTAAACCTGCTGAGCCAAGGCCATTGTACATTCAAAAGAATATCTCCAGAGAGGAAGTCCAGTGGGGAGTGTTTGTTCCACGAGATGTCCCTGAATCATTCACCTCAGAAGCTTACCAGTGGCTGAACAGATCCCAGTTTTACTTCCTAACAAAATCACAGGTAATTGCCCCCTCAGAAAAGGGTAACTACCTCATATATGGAATTTTAGAGAAGTAGTCAGACTGTGGCCATTGGTGTGAGTTTGTTTCTAGGAGTAGTTTCATTAAAGGTTTATTTCCCAAAAGAAATTGTCAGAAATGCTCATTACAGCAGTATTGCTAGAAGCCACCCTTTAAGTATTGTTTCCATTAACACTGTGACACAAGAAAAGCAGAAGATTACAAAATATTTTATTTACTAACATGGTTTATATTTTTTTTAATTTTTAGTATTGGATTTGTTGAAGAAAATGCTGACTTGGCTGTCAGTTTGAGCCATCAGTTAAATTTTTTTTCATTACCAGTTCTTAGATATCTCTCAGAACACAATCTTGCAATGCTCACAGGGGTTTTTTTTATGTAATTTAAACCTTTTATTACTTTTCTATGAACAGATACATAAATCAAAATGAAAAAATGACCATCTTGTATAATCTTACTTAGGTTTAGTTTGTACTCTACAATCATTTTTTCCATCATTAATTGATCTCTTTTCAGAGTTTATTGACATTCAGTACAAAGTCTCCAGAAGAAAAACTCACACCAACAAGCAAACAGGTATGTTTTGGTCATTTGTAGTACTGGCTCATTACCTCCCTAAAAAGATAGTAATCTTTTAGAATTCAGCTATGACAAAAATGTTTCACCTGGCCCAAATGGAATTTTAAAACGTACACTTATAAACTGATGTGCCTCTTTTTGAAGCTACAATACTCTACATTTATAATATCTGTAACACATGTTTGAAGAGTCAGGTATAGTTGGCACTCCATATCCATGGGTTCCACATCCATGAATTCAACCAGTTGTAGGTCAGAAATATTTAGGAAAAAAAAACATTCTAGAATATATGGGAGGATGTGCCTAGGTTATATTTAAGTAGTATGCCATTTTTCATAAGGTACTGGAGGATCCTTGGATTTGGGCATCTGCAGAGGGTTATGGAACCAGTACCCCATGGCTACTGAGGATATAATTATGGTACTTCATGCTTCTTAGGAAAAACTTCACTGCCATTACCCACAAAGACAGTCGCTCCCACCTTTTTAGTTAAGAGTTTTCATTTGCTTTATATTGCTAAGAAACATTTATATTGCTTAATCTGGATTTTTCTTAGATACCAACTCTTAACTCTGATCTACTGAAACTGACATTTTAACACTACTACTCCTCATATATACACAACACAAACTTTCCCTACCTAATTTTCCCCATATACAGGTAAGTCTTAAATTGATTAGGTCAGTATTGTCATAACCATGTAAATACAATTCATAGCCATTCCATGTGGTGCACATTTTTCCTTTTGTTGACCAGCTTTTTGTTTTCTCTGGAATTAATGATTACCTCCTTTTTTCGTTTGCTTAGTTTTTTATTTACCTCTCACCCAGTTTAACACCAGCCTCCTTCAAAATTATGTAAGTCTTCTCTTGATATTTTCAAACATTAAGTATTCTCTCAAGTCATGAAGAAATATATCCAGGAGCCTTCTGCCTGGCTTCATTCTGGACTGATTGCTCCATGTATCTGCTGCACAATAGTGGTCTTAGGATACACATTCAGGTCCTATAGGTTTCATCTTTAGTCACTCAACTTGCTTTGGTGAAGCAAATTCTGTTGGAGCATGGATAGTATATTTAAGACTTCGTGTGTTGGGAAATTTTTTATTCTCTCCTACTTGATTGGTTAGTTGAATCATATATTGAGTTGTAAATTGATAAATCATTGTGTCAAGAACTATTCTAGGCAGTTGAGCTATGTTAGCAAAATAGGTCTATAAACTTCTTATAGTGTTTATAGTAAGGCACAGACATTAAACAATAAGCATTATATAAGTTAAATACTAGCAAAGACCTGACATGGCAGATCATGCCTGCAATCTGTCACTTGAGAGGCAGCAATGGAAGGAACATAGTCTGATGACAGCTCCAGACAAAAGTGCAAGACCCTTATGAAAAATAGCTAAAGCAAAAGAAGCTGGGGGTGTGGCTTAGCAAGTATAAAGCCCAGAATTCAAAACCCCACAGTACCGCCAAAAAAAAAAGATGCTGATAACAATTGTGGTGGAGTGAAGGATAGAGTAAAAAGGGGAAAGTAAGGTGCAACTTGCAGTTTTAAATAGGGCAGTCAAGTAGGCCTTACTGAAAAGACTGACTTTTCCTCTGAATGAATTGTGGAGCCCCATAGGGGGTTTTGGGTAGAGAGCTGACTAAGGAGGAAATCTGTTATAGTAGCTGTTATTCATTAGAGTCTGATGGGTCTTGGCTGTCTACTCTTATGTAAGTGAGCACAACTCAGCACCAGTGCTCATGCCTATAATCCTAGCTACTTGGGAGGCTGAGATCTGGAAGATCATGGTTCCAGGCCAGCCTGGCCCAAAAGAAGTTTGGAAGACCCCATCTTAATGGAAAAGAATCTGAGCATGTGCCTGTTATCCCAGTGACAGTGTGAAGCTTAAAGTAGGAGGGTCATAGTCCAGGCCAGCATGGGCAAAAAGCAAAATCCTGTCTCCAAAATAACCTGAGTAAAAAAGCCTAAAGTTGTGACTTCACCAGTCTCAAAAGTTTGAAGCCCTGAGTTCAAACCCCAGTATTACAAAAAAATAAAGCAACTAGGCTGGGCATGGTGGTGCATGCATGTAATCCCAGCACTCTGGAGGCTAAGGCGTCCTGGGCTATAAAAGTTGTTGGGAAATTTCTACCTATGTGGAAAATCTCTAGTGTCCTTATTTGTAGGTCTTTTTGGCTGATCAAATTAGACAGATAAAACTGTTTTGAATCCTAGCTTGGAGAATTTAGATCTGTCTGTGTTCAGAGAATGCCCTTATATAACAGACAACTGCCTTCAGCTGTGAAAACGGCACCACCTGCCTACCTCCAGAGTATATTTAGAACTTTTTGCTGAAGAGATGTAGGAATAGACTTTTCACCAGCCCTGCTAGGTTCTGGTTTTTGGTTTTGTTAGCCCAGTTTTCACCCGCATCCACAGAGATGCTATTAATACCATTTGTAGAATTCTGCTCTATGAATTGGGATGCTTCTCGCTTTTCCCATAGCTAGGTTAAAATTTTGGTTTCTCAACTCTCTTTAGTTGTCATCTTCAACCTGCTTCATCCTTCCAACCTGTTACTATATCATGGCCTTTCCCTCCATTCTCTGTCATTGTGAAAACTCTTTTGCTGTCATTTTTTTGCAGGGCAAATCAGAGAAGCAGTGGTGAATGTATAGGGTCTGTCATCTTCCCCCAGACGTTTTTTTCTTGTGTGTGTGTTCTTACTTTTGTTATTTTTTTTTTAATTGTTGTGCTGGGTGGAGGTATCTTGCAGCATTTACAAAGGTTCTTAAAATATATCAAATATATCACACTTCAATTCCCCACCTCTCCTGCTCTCCGCCATTCCCCCTCCCCTGATTCCTGGAACAGTTTGAACAGGTATCATTCTTGCATTTACATACATGTGTATACATTGTTTGCACCACATTCATCCTCCTACCCCTTTCCCTGCCACCTCTTTCCTTCCACTGGTGCCAGCCACACCTCCCCCCTCCCCACCTTCCCAAGACAGAACCTGTTCTACCCACCTGTTCTCTGATTTTGAAGAAGAAAACAACATAAAAAGTTAAAACAAGAAACATGACAACGTTTTGGCTAGTTTGAGATAAAGACAGCTATATAGGGAGTTTCCTTGTGTTGTTTCCATGTATATGTGTATTATAGCTCCAATTGATTCACCTCTTTCAGTCCTCTTCACTCCTCCCTAATCTGCTTCCCATGGTGGCCCCGGCCAGCTTGAAATTTCTGTATTCATTCCTGTGCAGTGAGCATACCAACCTCATTCAAGGTTTTGGTTTCCTTCCCTCGCCCTATCCCTCACTTGGACAGCCTCTCCTTAGTGTGACCCCTCTCCCATGATATGCTGCATTTGTTTTAGGTCTACAATCTGCATGTCAGGGAGAACATGTGGCTTCTGGCCTTCTGAGCCTGGCTAACTTCACTTAAGATGATGTTCTCCAATCCATCCATTTACCTGAGAATGACAAAATTTCATTCTTTGTGGTTGAGTAAAATTCCATTTTGTGTAAATACCACATTTTCTTAATCCATTCTTCAGTAGTGGTGCATCTTGGCTGTTTCCATAGCTTGTCTATTGTGAATAGAGCTGCAGTAAACATGGGTGTGCAGGTGCCTTTGTAGTAGTCTGACTGACATTCCTTCAGGTATATCCATAGGAGTGGTACTGCTGGATTGTATGGCAGATCTATTTCTAGTTTTTCCAGGAACCCTCATAATGTTTTCCGCAGTGGTTGTGCTATCTTACCTTCCCACCAGCAGTGTATGAGGTTCCTTTTTCCTCGCATCCTTGGCCAACATTTGTTGGTGGTGTTTTTGATGGTAGCTATTCTAACAGGAATGAATTGGAATTCTAGTGTGGTTTTGATTTGCATTTCCTTTATGGCCAGGGATGGTGAGCATTTTTTCCTGTGTTTTTTTAGTCATTTGGATTTCTTCCTTTGAAAAAGTTCTGCTCAGTTGCCTATTTCTTTACTGGGTCATTGATTTTGGGAGAGTTTAGTTTTTTGAGCTCCCTGTATATTCTGGTTATCAGTCCTCTGTCTGATGTGTAGCTGGCAAATATTTTCTCCCACTCTGTGGGTGTTCTCTTCAGTTTAGAGACCATTCCTTTTGTTGTGCAGAAGCTTTTTAATTTCATGTAGTCCCATTTGTCAGTCCTTTCTCTTGGTTGCTGGGCCACTTGTGTTCTAGTGAGGAAGTCCTTGCCTATGCCTGTTGCTTCCAATGTATTCCCTACTCTTTCCTGTACTAGCTTCAAGGTTTCAGATCTGATATTAAGGTCCTTAATCCACTTTTTGTTGATACAGGGTCATAAACACAGATCTAGTTTCAGTTTTCTGCAGGCAGATACCCAGTTTTCCCAGCAACAGTTATTGAAGAGGCTGTGTTTCTCCATTGTGTGTTTTTGGCACCTTTGTCAAAAATAAGGTGGGCTTAGCTGTGTGCATTCATATCCAGGTCCTCTATTTTGTTCCACTGGTCTTCATACCTGTTTTTTTGCCAGTACCATGCTGTTTTTATTGCTATGGCTCTGTAGTATAATTTGAAATTGGGTATTGTGATACCTCCAGCATTGCTCTTTTTGCTCAGTATTGCTTTGGCTATTCACTCTCTTTTGTGTTTCTAAATGAACTTGTAGAAATAGTTTGAGTTCTTCTTTACAACTATTTCTATTCCTTTTATTTCTTTTTCCTGTGTTACTGCTCTGGCTATGATTTCCAAGACTATGTTGAGTAGGAGTAGAAGGAGTGGGCACTCTTGTCTCTGTCCTGACTTTAGGAGAAATGGTTTCAGTTTTTCTCTGTATTTTGTTGGCTATAGATTTGTCATATATAGCCTTTATTGTGTTGAGGTACATTCCTTCTATGCCTAGTTTCATCAGAGCTTTTATAATGCGGTAGTGTTGAATTTTATTGAAGGTGTTTTCTGCATCTATTGAGATGATCACGTGGTTTTTGTCTTTGCTTGTGGTACTATGCTGTATTACCTTTAATGTTTTGCCTATGTTGAACCATCCCTGCCTACCTCGGATGAAGTCAGTTTGGTCATGGTGAATTATCTTTGTGGTATGTTGTTGGATTCAGTTTGCCATTATTTTATTGAGGATTTTTGCATCAGTATTCATTAAGGAGAATGAATACTCCTTTTTTTTTCTTTCTTTCTTTTTTTGGCATATGTCCTTGTCCGGTTTTGGGATGCAGGTAATACTGTCCTCATAGAATGAGTCAGGGAGTGTTCCTTCCCTTTCTATTTCATGGAAAAGTTTAAAGAGTGTTGGTATTAGTTTACTTTAAAGGTCTGGTAGAATTCAGCTGAGAATCCATCAGGTCCTGGGCTTTTCTTTTGGGGGAGACTATTGCTGCTTCAATTTCATTGTGTGATATAAATCTTTTAGGTGAGTAATACCACTTGGTTCAATTTTGAATGGTCATATGTATCTAGAAATTTGTCCATTTCTTCAAGATTTTCCAATTTATTTGAATATAGGTTCTCAAAATGGTCCCTGATGATTCCCTGGATGTCCTTGGTGTTTGTTATTATCTCCCCTTTTTCATTTCTAATTTTATTAATTTGGGTCTTTTCCCTCCTCATTTTAAGTCAGATTTGCCAGAGGTTTGCCAGTGTTCTTTATTTTTTCAATGAACTAGCTTTTTGTTTCATTGATTCTTTGTATGGTTTTTTGTTTGTCTCTAATTCGTTGATTTCACCCCTTATTTTATTATTTCTCTCCTGCTTGTTTTGGGTTTAGCTTGTTCTTGGTTTTCTAGGAGTTTGAGATAACAGCATTAGGTTATTTGTTTGCGATCTTTCTGTGTTTTTAATGTATGTGTTCATGGCTATAAACTTTCCTCTTAGGACTGCCTTTGCTGTGTCCCATAGGTTCTGATAGGTTGTGTTTTCATTGTCATTAAACTTTTTTTATTTCCCCCCTTATTTGTTCTATGAACCACTGATTATTGAGCAATGTGTTGTCCAGCCTCCAACTGTTTCAGTATTTTCTGCTGCTGTTTTTGTTCTTGAGTTCTAATTTTATTGCATTGTGATCAGATAGTATGCAGGAGGTTATTTCAGTTTTCTTATATTTGTTGAGACTTGCATTGTGCCCTAAGATATGATCTATTTTGGAGAAAATTCCATGGGCTGCTAAGATGAATGCATATTGTGCTGTTGTAAGATAGAATACTCTGTAGACATCTGTCAGTTCCATTAAATCTATGGAGTCATTTAGTTCTAGGATTTCTTTGTTGATTTTTTGTCTGGATAAGGATCTGTCATCTTAAGCATCCATCGTTAAGTTTTCCCCATAGTAAGTGGGATGATGGGCCTCACTAACTTTACCTGAAAGATGAGAAAATTATACTAATTAATTCCTAAAGCTACATCCTGGACATTTTATGATTCAATAGTAATTATTACTCAGTTGACTGCGTTTCCCCTTTTTAGTGAAATAATTTCCTTTTTTCTTAAATCCTTACAGCTGCTAGCAGAAGAAAGTCTTCCGACAACCCCATTTTATTTCATACTGGGAAAGCACAGACAGCAACAGGATGAGAGGTCAAATGAAACTGCAGAGAATGAACTGGTACAGCTACCCCTAACAGAGAACCTACCTGCAATTAATGAGGTACGTACTTAGTGAGAAAGCCATATCAAACAGATCAAATGCATTAAAGCACCTGGAGGTGGAGTTTTCTGCAGTCTGTCACAAATAATCATTTGTGTGCTGTACAGCATGAATACAAAGCTAAATCACATAACCTTATGATTTGGGATTATTTTGGCCTGGACTGGAGTAAATAAGGAGATTTACATAAGTGGAGGAAGTGTCGATACTTTTTCTCTTTGGTTTTTCTGGGGGGAAAGCCTTTATGTTTTGAGTTTCGGTATTTTGCAATAAATGCACTTAAGAAGCTGAAGGAGCAGATTATGCCGAAGGAGAATCTTTCTAGTGAAACCTGTTTCTGCTTTTACTTCAGCTTCTCCACACACCAGCCCATGTGCTGCCATCTGCTTCTTTCCTGTGCTCCATATTTGTGAATTCACTGTTGCTGTCTAAAGAGACTAAAAGGTAAAGCACTTTATAAAACGTGTTTATGTTATTCTGTGGTGTTACCTTTTAGAATATTCTTTCACTGTGTTTCTCTTTATTTCAGCTTCAAAATGCAGTTAAGGGCATGGGATTATTAAGGAAAATATGTTGAGAATAACTGTGAAGCAAGATGTTTTATGTGTATGCTGAAGTATTTGGTATATAATTTAAAATTACGTATTTCATAAATTTATCTGCTGTTTTATAATCACTCCTAATATTTTTTCTTTCCTCTTTTTGGTGGTACTTGGGTTTGAACTCAGGCAACCACTGTACTACTTGAGCTATGCCCCCCGCCCTTTTTGCTTTATAGTTTAAATAGGCTCTTGCATTTTTTCCAGGCCAGCCTGAACCATGGTCTGCATAGCTGGCTTAACACCCATATACCACCACACCCAGCTTTATTGGTTGAGATGAGGTCTCCATACCTTTGCCCAGGCTGGAATTGAAATCCTCATAATCACGGCCTTCCAAGTAGCTAGGATTACAGTTGTGAGCTGTCATGCCCATCCATGACCTCTAATTTTTTTTAAAGTATACTCAACAGCATAATTCTTCATTTGCTTTGTCTGTATGATTGTTTTTCTACATAAGTGTCTTAAATTAGAAAGTTATTGTTTAGAAATGTTTTTAATGGTATTGATATTCTGTTCCACTATTTTTAAAGTGCTGAAGAAATTCCTGATGATGTAGATATGGAAAAAGAAAAGGAAAGTGATGATTCAGATGAAGAAAATGACTTCACTGAACAGGTCCAAGATACAAATAACACAGATTTGGGAGATGACATTATCCATCAGTGGTCAAAATCTGAAGAAAAAGAACTGAGAAAGTTCAGGAAAATAGACTATAGCTGGATGGCTGCTTTTTAGGCCTTGGGCATAGGATGGTGTGGGAGGTCTTGGACTTTGTGTTTTTTATTATATATTGATATTCCAAAAAATTTTAATATTATTTCTGTTCTTAAAGTGCTAAGTATTTACAAGCTTTGCTTTTTAAAAAACAGATGTGATGAAACTACATTTGCATCATGCTTTGCTTTATCACATCTCTGTTTTTATTTCAAATCACATACTAGCCTTATAAAACAGGCAGGTATTTTTCTCTCAGGTTATAATAGCAGTGCTGGAACTGGAATTCATATAACATATAATCTCTCATCTGCAATTCAGAGATAGAAAAATTTCAAAAATTGAAAGGCTTTGATTTTTTTTTTTTTTTTGACATTGAAATCCATTTGGTAACCAGATATGACAGATGTGACCTTAACTGATATTTTTGTCCTGATGGATTCTTCTTGGCATATTTTTTTCTTAAGCATTTTGAGTTTTCTAGGTCATTGGTAATACTTATATTAAAAAGTAAATAAACAGCAGAGTGTACAAGTCACACACTTGGTACAAATGACTTTTAGTATGTACTGTAGACTGAATGTTTGTGTACCCCCAAATTTACGATACAACCTAATCTCCAATCTGTTGGTAGTTGAATATGGGTCCTTTGGAGGTGGAGCTTTCATGAATAGTAGTGCCCTATATAAGAAGACTCAGGACTAGGGATATTGCTTAGTGGTACATTTATTACTAGCATCCCCAAAGGCCCTGCATTTGATTCCCAGCACCACAAAAAAATAAACAACAGAGCACCCAGAGAGCTCCTTCTACCCTTCCAACATATAGCAACACAGCGAGAAGACAACCGTCTGCATCAGGGAGCAGGCTCATACTAAACATGAATGATGCCTTTCTATTGGATTTCCCGACCTCCGGAACTATGAGTCATAAATTTCTACTTATAAGCCACCCCATCTTTGGTATTTTGTTACAGTTGCCCAAATGAACCATGTATTTTTCAATCAGTATTTAAATAAGTGTCTGTTTAAAAAAAAATGACTGTATTGATGTAATTTACAAACCATGTAACTCATGTATATATAAGGTAAGCACGTCTATGATTTTTAGTGTTCACCATCATGATCAATTTTAGTACAGTTGTATCACCTCAAAACTGACCATTTGCCTCAACTCACTACCCTATCCCCTAGACAACAACTAACCTTTCTATCTCTGAATTCACCAACTATGAACATTTTATACCAATGGAATCATACTATATGTGTTCTTTTGTGAGTGACTTCTTTCACATAGTGTTTTAGACTTTTACTGTGACAGATACCTGGACAAGAGGTTTATTTGACTCAGTTTCAGAGGTTTCAGTCCATGGCCTGCTGACTATTGCTGTGGGCCTGTGGTGAGGCAGAACATCATGATGGCAGGATCGTGGCTGGGAAGCAGAGAAGGAAAAGGGGCCAGGGACAAGATAAACCCGTCAAAGACACACCCCCACTCACCCACTTCCTCCAGGTAGGCCCTACCTCCTCATCCATTCATCTCTGACTTCATCCACGGGTAATCCATCGATGAAGTTGGCATCCTCATGATCCAGTCACCTCTCAGCACCACCAGCTGGGGACCAGGTCCTCAGCAGATGAGCCTGTGGTACACATCTCATGTTTGAACCAAAACACTTAACATCCAGATTGCAGGGCATATCAGTACTTCATTCTTGTTTATTGTGGACATACCATATTCAAACCACACATTTAGCATCCATGTTGTAGCATGTATCAGTACTCCATTTCTCTATAGTGCATTCATCTCTCCTGGGTACACTTCTAGGAGTATTGCTGGGTCATTTGATAACTATTAAACCTTTTGAAGGACCACCAAAGTTAAGAATTGACTGCACCAACATACATTATATCATCGTCCAAAAAATTGCCCAATAGTGTGATCCATTAATCTTAGTTCCTTTTGAAAAGTTTCATTGTTTTGTTATTTTAGTCTTATTTCAGGTTCAAAGCAAAATTGGTAAGAAATAGATGTCCAAGTCCCTCCCCCATGCACCCAGAGCCTCCCCCATTACCGAGGTCCTCATCCTTTATCCACATGCCCCACCAGAGTGATACATTTGTTACAGTTGGATAAATTGTAGCAAATTCTATGCATGTTCTTCCTGGGCAAAATCTCAGCCACTTCTCCAGAACTGTGGACAGGCACAAAGGCCCACATCTCTCAGGCTGACGCCCTGCTTTACAAACTGTGTGGAGGCAAGAGCCGCTAGCAGCATCTCTCCTGCGTGGAATTTCTGCCATTTGAGCAAACTGGGGCAAGTGCAACCTAGCCCCCAGTATTCTAAGCTTATTCTTATAGTAGAGTCTCCACTCTTAAGAGTAGGCTTCATAAAGCAGGGGAGATCCCAACCTCAGCTCAAATTTAGCCAGAGCAACAGAGCTGGGGTTAAGAATGCTGGCCACCCCTGGCAGCTGCTGATTAAAGATCCAGTCTTCTTAGCCACACCTACCCAGAATGGAGTTTGTGTCATGCTGGACTGACTAGGGAAGAGAGAGCAGTTTATGGCTTGATTGTCGCAGGCTCTAACTGTTCCTGCCACCAAGATTTATTAGGTTTTCCTGTCTCCCAGTATCTGCAGACAAAATGGTTGAGGGTTTTGTTTTGTTTTAATTGTTACCAGTTCTGGTTGTTCTGAAGACCAGGTCCATGGATTTCACACTGCCATTCCAGAAGTAGTTTTGATTTATAACACCTTCTTTGTTTCACCACCACCATCTTTTTGTGCACAATTTGTTGGAAAGATTAAAATTGCCATCTAAGTTTCTCACTGGTTTTTCAGATTGCTTTATTGGCTTTAACATGATCTTCCACCCTCTGAATATTGGGAGTTGGGTCTAGCGTATTGGGTTATATTTCCTTTTTGTTTTTCTTTTTTTGGTGGCACTTGGGTTTGAACTCAGGGCCTCATGCTTGCTAGACTCACCATTTGAGCCCCTCTACCAGCCCTATATTTCTACTATCCAATAGAAATATAATACAAGTCCAATTTATAACTAGTTTCCTAGTAACAAGAAAAATCTAAAAATTAATGCTAGTGCTATATTTTATTAAACCTCACATATCTAAAACAGTATTTCAGTATGTACCCAATTTTTAAAAATATTTACAGATATTTTGTACTTTTTTCCATATGATGTTCTCAAAATACACTGTGTGTTACATACTTAAAGCATGTGTCCATTTGAGCTAACCACATTTCCAGGAATACTTAATAATTACCCATGGCTACAGGCTGCCATCTTGGACAGCACACATCTGAAGGCTTGATCAGATTAACTTGGAACTTTTAACTAAAACAGATTGTGTTGTTTCATTTTTGGTCTTTTTCCCCATCTCTAGAGGGAGGGCACATCAGCATAGTCCCCCCATGTGAATTTAATTATTTTGCCATATTCAGACACTGACATGATACTTCCAAGTTTGAGAAATATTTTTTGCAGTTGTGCATAAAAGATTTTATACTTACAAATCAAATTTCTTAAAGAAAATTTAGGGTGTGTCTTTCATAAACAGTAATTACTATGTAATCTGAAAAAATCACTTTGTAAGGACTTTAATTTTTCTTACACTAAAACAGCAACCTTATTGGGAAGATTATTCTCATTATTTCTTCAAACTGAAAAAAATAGGGTTTTTTTTTTTTTTTCAAAGAAAGCTATAGAGATTTTAAAAAGGCCATGGCTGCTTGATTCCCAAAACCTGGACTTCTGACCAGCACATGTATTGTGCTGTCTCCATCTCTTTCCCACTCAAAACTGATCCCATCAGAGTAGATAAACCCACAACGATTACTTCTATCCTTCCTCGTTACTCATCTCTTTCACCTCCCAACGCATGAACTTGTTACACTGTGTCTGTGACAAAAGGCATAGCCTATAATTCAGGAATATATAATTTCCACCTCACTAATGGATGGACCATAGGATAACCACCTACTGTGTGCTGTGTATTTCACACACATCACATTTTGTCTACAACTCCATGTGTCAGGATGAGGAAACTGAATCCAAAGAGATTAAGTTTCATACTTAAACAACTAGGCTATCAGAAGTGGAGCTAAAACACTGCCTGTGAAATTCCAAATCCTGTGCCCTTCTAGAATAACTTGGTCTCCCAGATACTTATAACAGCTAACTAGCTTTGCTAAGTTATCTATGATCGGGGAGGCACTGTGATGATAAAATAACCCAGTTTTAGGGCTAATCCCAGCTGGAGACGAGTACCATAGCTATGTGACCTGGCTAAAGCCCTTTATGCTTCATCTGTAAGAAGTGTTCCCTTCCCAAGCAGGTGGTTTTATGTTCCTCACTTGTGCTGTTATAGTGCAAATATAGGTAAAGTGTGCAAAATCTGAATATTGTACAAGATTATATACTGAAGTATAAGCAAATTGTTGAAGAAAATCTAGGTTAATTGAATGGTCACATTAAAAGAGGCTTATTCACATGATAAAAGTGAGAGCACACATGGGAGGGGTGAGGATAGGTAAGACACCTAAAAAATTAGCTAGCATTTGTTGCCCTAAACGCAGAGAAACTAAAGCAGATACCTTAAAAGCAACTGAGGCCAATAGGAAAAGGGGACCAGGAACTAGAGAAAAGGTTAGATCAAAAAGAATTAACCTAGAAGGTGACACACACGCACAGGAAATTAATGTCAGTCAACTCCCTGTATAGCTATCCTTATCTCAACTAGCAAAAACACTTTTTTTCTTCCTATTATTGCTTATACTCTCTCTTCAACAAAATTAGAGATAAGGGCAAAATAGTTTCTGCCGGGGGTTGGGGGAGGGAGGGAGGGGACAGAGCGGGTCGTAAGGGAGGGGGTGAGGATGGGGGAGAAATGACCCAAGCCTTGTATGCACATATGAATAATAAAACAATAAAAAAAAATTTTTTAAAGGCTTATTATTAATGTTCTGGGAAACATTCCTCTTTTTTATTTTATTGTACTTTTATTTTTATTTTACTGGTCGCACTGGAGTTTTAATTCAGGGCCTCATGCTTGATAGGCAGGAGCTCTTACTGTAAGGTACTGCTAAATAAAGACCACACCATGTGTGGAAAGGAAAGATTTATTAAGAATCCAGACCAA